ATCTATCTATCCATCTACTCACTTGCCCACCTACCCATCCATCTACCCACCCTCCTATGCACCCTCCTACCCGCCCACTTACCTCCCCACGCATCCACACATCCATCTATCCATGTACCCACCCACTCATCCATCCACCATGCATCTATCTATCCTTCTATCCCTCTAGCCCATCCATCAAGAAAATGCTTCCTGAGCACCTACCATGGGGAGACTGGGGACAACACAGAGCTGGCTCAGGATTGCCCGAGTCAGGAAGGAGGTGTCAGATGTGTAGGGACAGCAGAGACTGCAGGTCCTGGCCACTTGCCTCCTGGGTGGCCTAGAGAGCACCATGTTGTTTCTGAGCGGAACCCAGCCCCTGCAACGCTCGCCCTCCCCCCTACATATCCTGAGCTTCATCCTGATGCCACATGTCAACCTCTGCAAACCTAGCAGAGGCCCCTATGAATGAGCCACGCAGGGCCACCAGCTGGCAGGCACTGGGGGAGGGAGCTGCCAGGGCCACCGCAGGTTTCTTGGCTCCACCTGGTGGGAGAAGATAAGGATCCAACTACAGCTTCTGTTGGGCCCACGGCCGGCTCAAGCCCCTTCAAGGTGGAAGTGGCCTGGTCAGGATGGAGAGGCCAGTAGGGGAGTTCTTCTGGGACTTGGAACCTCTCAGGAGTAACCTCCAAGGTCTGGCATCTCTAGCCTGTGCTTGGGGCTGGCCCTAGGAGGATAGGGGCTCCCTCAGAGGGAAAAGGCCAAGGAGGGCTCTCCTGCGCACTCTGGGCCCTTGGGTGGGTGGTCTGTGCCCAGCCTCAACGTCACCTGTGTGTAAAGGGCTGGCAGTGTGCCCAGGGCAGAGGCTGCATGGCTCATGTCCTGAGACGATGCCCTACCCCAGCACTTAGGGAGTCCTGGTTCTGGGGGTTTCCTAGGAAAAAAATCTCACGGTCTCCTGTTTGATCCCAGGGAACCCAGGGCACCCTCCCGCAGAACTTTTTTCCTTATTTTCTTCCACTTCCCCAGCTGTCCAAGCCCCCATGGGTTGACTGGCAGAAGGTAGACTGTTTCTCATGGAAATCAGTGGAGGTCCATGGGACCACTGTGCCCTGCCACAGGGGTGGATGATTGGGAAGTGCTTGTCCCAGGCACTCTGCCCTGCTCCCCGCTGTTCCTCACCAGGGACCTTTGACTAAGCCTGACCCAGCTGGCATGGGTCCTCCAGCCTGTCACTGCCTCATGCAAGCTTGGGGGTGACCCTCAGGGGTTCCCACTCACACACCCAACTCTGGGACCCAACACAAGTCAGCTCCATGGTGGCACACACATCCTCCAACACCAATAGGAGCCAGCGCCCCCACCAGAGGGACATTTTAACTTGAGTCTCGCCAGGCAACACACCATTATTATTTCTCCTTCCCCTGACCTCCTGTCTCTTGATCTGTCTGGTGCCTATCACATGCCTATAATCCCAGTGACTCGGGAGGCAGAGGCAGGAGGATCGCAAATTTGAGGACAGCCTCAGCAACTTAGCAAGACCCTGTCTCAAAAATAAATTTAAAGAAGAAAAGAAAAGAAAAAATATCTACCCACCCTCCTATGCACCCTCCTACCCGCCCACTTACCTCCGCATGCATCCACACATCCATCTATCCATGTACCCACCCACTCATCCATCCACCATGTGTCTATCTATCCTTCTATCCCTCTAGCCCATCCATCAAGAAAATGCTTCCTGAGCACCTACCATGGGGAGACTGGAGACATATCTTCACATAAACCCCAAACATCTATTTCCAGGGCTGGGCACTCGGTGATCTTTGCTGACAGCTAATGGCACCAGACACCTACAACCCAACGACCAAGCCTCCTACCATATTGGCCAAAGAATGGCAAGGAACCCCTTCAAGCCACAGTCCAGGAGGGGCCTGACGCCTGCTAGCCACCCCAACCACCTCTCCTTCCAGCAAAGCCGATCCTGCTGGGCCCCCAGTGTCCAGTGCTGTCCTGCCCAGTCCTCTTTCTGAGCCGTTGGTGCCCAGAGGGCTCAGGGAAGTCACCTGTGGCCAGCTCTCAGGGACTGGCCGCCTTTGCCCAGCTGGTTGCTGGCCGTGGGCAGAGGGCTGGATCCTTGGTAAGAAACAGCAACCACCCCTGCCTCTCCAAGGTGGAAAGATGAGCTACCTCAGAAAAGGACATTGCGGTGGCTGTGTATTTCAGATGCTGCTACGGTTGGGCAGGGAGCGGGGTGGCCCTAAGAACCCTAGAAATGCATGGCGGCTGCAGGGAGCGCCAATACACCCAAGGACAAGGACAGCAGCAGACTGCAGAGGGTGACCCAGCCCCCTTCCAGGCAGAGGAAGGAAAGCTAGGTGGCCCGGAGGCAGGCACAGAGGGACACTTCATTTGCCCTGGCTCTAGCTGCGAGAAGCCGGCCCACATCACAACTGCGGGGCCTGAGCTCCCCAGCCCAGCGCCAGGCCTGACTGGGGAGGCTGGACCCCAAGACCTGGACGGGATGCCAAGGACAGCACCCTGGGAAATCCTCAGTGCTGATCCCCTGAAATAGGCAGAGCCCGTACAGCCCTGCCTGGAGGCCACCCAGAGCTCAGGCCCTGGGAGGCCACACCTCTGCCTCGGGCCACAGAACCTATGCCCAGAACTAAACTTCAGGACATCTTAGGTTTTATTCTCCTTCTTGAGCCATTTTTTAAAATCCCACCACAGAGCCATATCAGAACTCTCAGGCCCCTTATTCCTCTCCTCCTGTACTATTCCTCTTCCTCCTCCCCCTCTCCTTCTTCCTCTTTCCCTCCATTTCTGGGTTCTCCAGAGACTGTGATTGAGCTCAACTTCCCAGATGACCAGAGGGGAAATTTTAATTCAATATTTTGCCTTTTTTCCTCATTCCCCAAACAAGCAGTATTTTCATTGCTTCTAGTCATGACCTAGCCAAAGAATCGATCCCAGAATCACCCCCAAACCATCGACCCCATAATCACCAATTGCTATGTTAGGGTTTACAGTGGAGTGAATGTTGGACCCCAAAAAGATATGCCTCATCATATCCCTGACCTCTGAGAGTGTGATCTTATTTGGAAAAAGGGTCTTTGCTGATGTAATTAACCTAGGATTTTGAGATGAAAGGATCATCCTAGATTATCTGAATAAGCCTGAAATCCAATGATGCATCCTTACAATGAACACATGGAGGCTGGGGTGCAGCCCATGGCAGGGCACTTGCTAGAGATGCACAGAAAAGAAGGAGCCGTGGGACCCCAGAGGCAGAGGCAGAGAAGAAGCCACAAGCCGAGGAAGTCCAGCCATCCCAGCAACCACCAGCAGCCAGGAGGGAGGCCAGAACAAAATCCCCCCCAGGCCTTGCCAGCATACTTAAGGCCCAGGTTTGATCCCCGTCACTGAAAAAGAATCCCCCGGAACCTCAGCAGGGAGGGAGACCCTGTCTGCAAATTAATTTTAGACTTCTTATAACAATGGCCCCTTTCATGCTGCTGGGCCCTTGGCAGCTTACTTTAAAACTAACCTCTTTTCCCTTCCTCTCCCCCCTCTTCCCCTCCCCATCCACAGAAGAAGCAAGATTGACATTCTCCTGTGCCAAGTCCAGTTATCTGCCCTTCCACTCACTGTCCACGGGAATAAAGGGACTCCAGACCTGGGGACTGGAACAACAGCTCTTTCAAGGACACAAGTTAAACATTAATCAGATCCACCAATAATGCTACCTGGAAAACAGACCTTGTGTCCCTCTTTGTGAAAGCCGCCTGTCCCCTGGCAGTCAGCACAGCAGCCTCTGTGGACACCAGTCCTTGTTGCCCTTCTCCTTTGCTAGCATAGTGAAAAAATCTTTATTTTTTTTCTTCCTTTTTCTAAAAACTCCTTATTATTCCCAGAGACTTGGAAAACTGAGGCAGCAGGATCACAAATTCAAAGCCAGCCTCAGAACTTAGCAAGGCCCTCAGAAGCTTAGGAGACCCTGTCTAAAAAAAAAAGAAAAAGAAAAGAAAAAAGAAAAAAAGGCTGGGTATGTGGCTCAGTGATAGAGCATCCCTGAATTCAATCCCCAATACCAAAATAAAAACCTGTGGACTGACAGGCAGGTTCTCTGTCCCTTGCACACACCTTCATGATATTAGGGCAGAATGGGCCTTGAGCTAACTGGGGTAGACCCTCCTGCTCTAAAGGGAAAACGCTGTCTCTGTAGGGAGTGTGAGACAGGCCTGGGGACACTGAACACCATAAAGTTTGCTATTTTTAACAAGAATCAGATGGGTTTGGGTTTGTTTTGTCTTTTGGTTCTGGGGATTGATTCCAGGGATGCTTAACCACTGAGCCACATCCCCAGCCCTTTTTTATATATTTTATTTAGAGACAGAGTCTTGCTGAGTTGCTAAGGACCTTGTGAAGTTGCTGAGGCTGGCTTTGAACTCAAGATCCTCCTGCCTCAGCCTCCCAAGCTGCTGGGATTACAGGCATGTGCCACCGCACCTGGCTTTAGCTACAAGCCATTGGATACTCTCCTGAGCTGCAAAATAGTTTATTCTGACAGTTTCTGTCCATTTTTCCTTAGCAGAGCTGGGAGTCCGTGCTCACGGTACCCACTGGTGTCCCTGTGCATACAAGGCAGGCACTCTACCAGCTGAGCTGTGTCCCCAGCCTGAGCACACTTTTTGGTTTGTTTGTTTCCAGTGCTGGGGATCACGCCAGGCCCCTGAACGTGCTTGGCTAGTGCTCCACCACCATCCAGAACTCTCTTTTAAAAACTGCTGTGTTGGACTGGGGTTGTGGCTCAGTGGTAGAGCGGTCACCTAGCATGTGAGAGACCCTGGGTTCGATCCTCAGCACCACATAAAAATAAATAAATAAATAAATAAATGTACTTAAACTACACCTAAAAATTTTTTAAAAAAGGAAAACACACTGTGTTGAGATGTAACTCACATACCATGTGATCCGCCTGTTTGTTCAACCCGAGGCTCTGCAGCACAGTCTCGGGGCTGTGTGACATCACGTTGATTTCAGAGCCTGACTGAGCCTCCCGAGCCCTGTCCCTTTGCTCCCATTCTCCTCCACGCTGTCTCGCAGCCTAAGCTGCCACTAACCCCTCCGCCTCCGCCTCCGCCTCAGAGAGCTCTTTGCCTCTTCTCCTAAAGAGTCCACGCGTGCTTAACAGGTCATGGGTACCCTGTGGCGGGGGAGATGGAGGCTCAGCCCTGACAACAACACGGACTCCCTGGTCACTGCCTGACCGGCCATCACTGAGCGCCAGCGTGGCGCCACCACCTGTGGAAGCAGCCCGCAGGGGCGGCCGCCAGAGGCACAGACTTCGCCCACGTGGAGGGATGACGATCATTCTCACTGGAATAGCCGTGCAGCCATCCCTGCCCTGGACTCCTCCATCCTGTGCTCGGGAATGTCTGCTGACCACCACAGTCGTTCTCTGTGACATGGATCCACAAGGATCTCACTCTTGAGCAAGATGTGCCACAATGGCCTCTGCCCAGGGAAGTCGCCAGCCTCTCCACGGGCCCTGCCACCCAGAAGAGCCTGTGCAGTAGGCTGACCCCTGGGGAGTTTGGTGTGCACCCCTGGGGGACACCACCAAACCACCATGTGAGGCTGGAGGTCCTCTCTCCTGGATGAAGCTCATGCTTGAACCAGAGGCGGACCGGAGCCAGCTGCAGTGAGCTCTGCGCATGACACCTCCGCTGCTCGCTGGCCTCTTGACTGTGTGCACACTTGTCTCTAGCTACTCTTTTACCCCTCATTCCCCTGTTGAGGTCGGTGACTGTTGCTGAAAGTTAACTTTGCGGTTTAGTCTCAGGTAAGAGCATATCTGGGCAGGAGAGATAAAAAGAGCAATTCACAGCCCAGAAGAGGGAGCTCAGACTGGGGACTCACCGCTCTTTCCTGCGGTGGGGGAGGACAGACTGTTCCACACCTGTAGGAAAGTAGTTGTGTCCTGTGAGGTACAAAATTGTTTTGCTTTTGAAATGTGGAAGTACAAATCCATGACGAAATGTATACATGGAAAGGATAGATCGAGGGGTGGACTTGCCAGGTGCCATTGCCTGTCACCTCGGGCCCTTCACCCAAACACGTCTCTGTGCATCTCTTATGCTCTGCTCTGTGATGCAGGGACAGGCACCCTGCAAACCTCAGTGACCCTTGGCCGGTGCGTGTTCAGCTCCATCAGAAGGGAGCTAGGTGTCGCCTTGCGGAGGAATGGGAGCGGCCACCTGTCTCTCTTCCGTCTGCTCCCGGGGGCCACGTCCCCTGGACTCCCTCACCTCGGGAGCAGCAGGGTGCTTCCTGCTCCCTTGTGCCTTGTTTCCTAAAGCAGTCGAATCTAGTTTGTAGTTTACCCAACGTGCACAAGATCCACTTTATCGTGTCGCCCCACTCAGGGACACCAGCCCCAACTCTCTGGCGCCTTCCTCTGAGCTCCAGGTCCAGACCTCCCAGGACCCTCTTTAGAGCTTTAGAGTTTTACAAAGTAGTTGGGTTCATCCCCCGCCCCCCAAAAAAAAAAACTCATATAGGCATGGAATTCGATTTCAGCTCATCATCCTCCCCTTTTCCCTCCTATCTCCTCCCCTGGGAGGCTGCTCTCAACCAAAGACCCCAAGACAGCCAGCACACCCCCCTGGGGTCCCACCTCTGTCTCTTCAAGTTTCCATTAATCCAACCTCTTGCACTGGTCCCCATCCTTAGGGGTGGTGGTGGTTATCTGTTGCGTTTGCTATCTTTAAGATGTATTCAAGTTCTTTTTTATTCTGGAAGTTATATATTGAACAGCTTTGGACTTATATATTATTTCTTATATTAACTGCTCTCTGTCCAAATGAAAGGTATACTTGCTTTCATCCAGCAGGACTCCGACTGATGTAAGTCCCTTATCAATCACATTTATTTGCAAACCAAGAAATCACAAACAAGGTTAAAGCAAAGATCCTTTTATTCTGGATATACTTTTCAAACCCAGTTGAACTAGAGTGAATGAACGCTCCACAGAGGTGGAGCAGGTCTGAGGCTTTCCTAACAAAAAGGAACAGTCTTTAGAGAAGTTAAACAGGACTGAGGTAACCCTGGAACTTGGACACCAACTCGGTCCTGGTTGGTTGTAAATTTTCTAAGTCCAGCTGAAGAGGCAGACTGGTCAATTTAGTGTTTCTCAACCTTGTAAAGTATTGTTAGCTTCCAGAAAAGTATTCCCTCTGGAAGGTCCAGCTCTAGAAAATTTACCCCTTTGGGAAACTTTCAAAAGCTCACAGAAGAACTTTTGCTCTTTACTTTTTGACCATTCTGCAGCCATCTTCCCTTTTACCTGGCTGATTACGAATTTCTTTCTCACACTCGGCGGCTTTCCTTTTCACTCCTGAGAAGGATATTTTGAATAAGCTTTTATGATCTTAGAGTGGCTTCCGAGTCGCAGAAAAGCCTCGGGGACGGTGAGAGTTCCCATGAGCCCCCACCCAATGTTCTGCATGAGGTGGTCTTGCAATAGCCGGGCCCACTTGGTACCACTCAGGAGCCCACAGGGACACAGCAGCACTCACTGAAGTCAGGCTTTATCGGGACTTCCTCAGTTCCACCCATGTCCTCCTTCTGCCTCAGGACCCCAGGCCACACATGGCCTTAGTCACCCCACCTCCTGGGCCCCTCTAGACCACCAGATTCTCAGACTTTCCCAGCTTTTTTGGTTTTCTGTTTGTTTGTTGTTGGGCTTTTTTCGTTTTGTTTGGTTTTGGCTTTTGTAAAACACGTTCAAGATTTTACTTTACTTTTCTATTGGATGATTTACATACTTACCTCACCTTTTCTTTAAGTTAGTGCCACAGTATTCCATAATAAACTACTTTAAATCCTGATTCGGTCGAGATTGGAATGAAATGGCAAAAAAAAAAAAAAAAAAATTAACCTCCTGTTGCTTTTTTAAAACCCAACCCCCGGGCTGGGGAGGTATCTCGTGGCAGAGCCTCACCTAGCCTGCTTGCTGGAGGCCCTGGGATCCATGCCCAATACCACAAAAACAAACAACAAGCCATTTCACCAATTATATTCCAGCAAAAACACACAGTCTGCTCCGTGGTGCAGAGCTTCCTGGGGACCAGCCTTCTCCTCCACCAGGCAAGGGGCAGCGCGGGTCAGCCCCTCAACACACTGGAAGGGGGTCTCCACTTATTTTTCAGGAGGCCCAGATAGGAGACCGTCTAGAAATCCGGGCTCCACCCAGCTCCTAGCGCACACTCACGACCAGCCTGCTTGCTCGCCTGGTGAACAGGCCCCGGAGGGATGCATGCCATCCGCAGTGACGGTGTCTTGTCCCCCGCTGGAGCCCTCCGTGGCTGACCTGTAGGCCAGATGCTCTGCTCTGGATAGTCCGCCTTGGGGACAAAGGCGAGCAGCCAGGTGGGGTCATCCTGGCTAAGAGCAGCGGGCAGCAGTCCTGCCAGCTGTTCTCCGAGACAATGATGCACACTCAGAGTGGAAGGACATCGGTTGCCAGAGTTGCAAACTGCGCGCTTTTCGAGGCCTGGGCAATGACCCTGGCCAGGCGGCTCCCACCGCAGAAGCTGGCCCGCGGGGCCCGCCCCGCACCATGGCCACAGTGCTCAGTGGAACAGAAGATACCTTGCAGCTCCGCCTGGCCTCGTCCACTTCCCTGGCGCGGACAGGAAACCCTGCCTGCGAGGTCCCAGGTCCTGCTGCCCGCCGGCGCTGGAGCCAGAAGCCTTTTAACTTTCAGCGTGCGCTCTGCAGCAGCACTTCCCGGGAGCGCCTGTCCTGGAGACTGGCCTCCGCACACCCTTCTTCCAGCTGCAGACTGGAGGCCTCGCGCGGTCCGCTCTGGACACCGGCTCTTGCGCATGCTCCTTGAACGCCGGGGTTGGGGAGTGGGGGGCGCCACAGGCGGGGCTTGGGGCTGGGCGTGGAGGACTCTGGCTAGCCAGGCCCAGCCGGCCCGGGCAGGCTGTGTGGCGGAGGCCTGGGCCGAACCTCACCTTTCTTTGCCCGCCCTCCCTCGCTGTCCTCTCCACCTCCTTGCCTTCCCCCTTCTCCCCTCCTCTCCCTTCCCCCAACTCCCTTCTCCTCCTCCTTCTCTCTCTAGGTTTTCGTTTTCCTTTTTTCAGTACTGGGGCTTGAACCCTGAAGCGCTCTACCACTGACCACATCTCCAGCCCTTTTTATTATTTATTTTGAGACAGGATCTTGCTGACTTGCTGAGGCTGGCCTCGAACTTGTGACCCTCCCTCCTCAGCCTCCTGGGTTTCGGGGACCATAGGAATGAGCCCGGTTCCTGAACTGCACAGAAGACGGGCAGAGGCAGGAGCACTGGCGGCTCACGGAGGGTACAGGCCTCCAGGGGTCATGGCTGGTGCTGACCCTGAGCATGACTGCCGTCAGGTTTTTCCCTGTACAGAGATCCTGCCTCCTGCTACCCCTACCGCATCCCGTGGGAGCAAGTCAGCTCACGCAGCCTACATGGAGGAAGACAGAACATGTGCAAACTTTATTTGGAATTCTTCTCCACGGAGTTCTGCCATCCTTCAATCAGCCTTTCCCAGGAGTACTGCCTGCTGTTTTGGAAAATGGTGTTAAAAACCAAGATTCCTCACAATCCTCGCGGCGGGGTGTCACTGCTCCTAAGTGCCTTGGGAGCCAGGGCCTTTAGTGCAGCGAGCTGCTTTGGGAACCCATCAGTCAGTATGTCCCACGTACGTCGACATGCAACCCTCTCCATCTAACTGGGATTCCTTGTCGCAGAGCACTCTGACCTCTTTCCCTTGCTGGTGGCAATGTGGGCTACAACCCCAAGAACCCTGGGCTGCCCTCCCAAAAGTAACCCCAGGGTGCAGGCCTGGCTGTACTGAGTACTTACCGCTGGCCCCTGGGAGTAAAGGCTGTTTTTGGTTATCATGCTCTTATTAAAGGCATTAAGCTCTTTTCTGACCCCAAGTTCAGGAAAGCATCTTCTGTTACCTTGTAAGTTTTCTGTTATTTCTCTGTTCACATTTAGAGCTGTAGTTCACCAAGAATTTATTTTTGTATATTTTGATACCATTGAGGGTGGAGATTTGGGGTTTTATTTTTTTGTTTTGTTTTTGGTTTTGTTCTGGTAATGGGGGTTGAACCGTGGGCCACTCAACCACTGAGCCACATCTCCAGCCCATTGTTTGTATTTTATTTAGAAACAGGGTCTCATTGAGTTGTTAAGGGCCCTACTATGTTGTTGAGGCCGGCTCTGAACTCCTGTCTCAGCCGTTGTGCCCAGCTAAGGTGGAGGTTTTTTTCCCATGTGGATAACCAATTATCTCAGGGCCACTGATTGAGGGAATCTGTCCTTTCCCAGGCCTTGTAGATCCCGCTCTATGATGAATCAAATCTCCAGTAGTATGTGGGTCTCTTGCAGGGTTTCTATTCTGTTTCACTGACTGGGCTGCACATCTGTGCTTTCATATCACACAATCTTTTTGCAAGTTTCTAATAAGTCTTAAACTCTAGAGAGGCAAACTGCTCTTTCTTTCTTCCTTCCTTCCTTCCTTCCTTTCCTGGGGCTTGAACCCAGGAAGACTTAACCACTGAGCCACATCCTCAGCTTTTTTTATTTTTTATTTTGAGACAAGTTCTTGCTAAATTGTTTAGGACCTTGCTAAGTTGCTGAGGTTGGTCTCAAACTTGCCATCCTCCTGCCTCAGCCTCTCAAGTTGCTGGGATTACAGGTGTGTGCTGCTATGCTGGTATTTTTCTTCTTCACGGGTATTTTGGGCTGGGAAACATACTGAATTTCAAAATAATTTTTTAAAAAACAGCTAAAGTTGTAGTTCAGTGACAGAGCAAAACTGGATTCAATTCCTCAAACGAAAAAAAAATCAAAAATAAATGCTGAGGGTTTTTTTTTTTCGTAAAAATCCTAAGCATTTTTGTTAGATTATTACTAGGCATAATGTATTTTCATGTTATTATAAAATGTATATTTGTATTTCCAAATTGTTTCTTCCTGGCATTTGGAATTTCAAAGCTGATTTTATATATTAATTTTCTATCTAGCAACATTGCATATCTGCCATATTGATTTTAATAATTCATCTGAGATTCTCTTTATTTCTTCTGTTCCAATCTTTACATAAATTTTCTTTATTTCTTCTTTTTGTTGTACTGAGATTGAGCTCAGGCGTGCCCCACCCTCCAGGGATACTCCAGCCCTTTTTATTTTTAATTCTGAGGTAAGCTCTCCCCAGGGGCCTCCAACTTGCCATCCTCCTGCCTCGGCCTCAGGTATAGCTGATGACAAGCGGGGCACCTCACCCAGCTATATATTTATTTTAGTGGCCTCTGTTAAACCAAAACTCCCTAAAATAAAAGGATCTGTTGAGCCATTATGGATGCTCACAAACAAGGGCCACATCCTGAGCAGGCTCCTGCGGCTCCCAGCAGCTGGAGCTCCAGTGGTCAGAACCGTGTCCCCGGACCTAGAGCTGAGAGTGCTTGGGGAACTTGGGAAGGAGAGCAGCAGTACTTCCCACTGAACCCTCAATGGCGGTGGACCAGGGGGCGGGATGACCCTGGGTGGGGACAGCTTTGGGAGGGAAGGCAGAGCCCTGGGAGAAGTGGTGCTCCTGGGTTGGTGCAGGTTGATCTCTGGACCACCTGTGAGCAACAGGGTGTGTGGCCCTGGGCTCCTGGGGTGGGATTTGAGTCAGGTGTCCACCTGCCTTTAGGATTGTGACCCTCCGTGAAGGCAGGGCCTCGGGCACACTAGGCAAGGCCTCCCCACAGTCCCAGCACAAGTTCCATTCTTCTTCCAAGTTTTATAAGACTTTCTTTCTTTCTTTCTTTTTTTAAAGAGAGAGAGAGGAGAGAGACAGAGAGAGAGAGAGAGACAGAGAGAGAGAGAGAGAATTTTTTAATATTTATTTCTTAGTTTTTGGTGGACAAAACATCTTTGTTTGTATGTGGTGCTGAGGATCGAACCCGGGCCAGACGCATGCCAGGCGAGCGCGCTATCGCTTGAGCCACATCCCCAGCCCAAGACTTTCTTTAAACTATGAAAGTTAAATGGAATTCACTTATTTTATGCAGATATTGAGAAAATCATATACTTTTTCCATCTTCCTTCATCTGTTAATGTGGTGAGTTACATTAATTGAATTTTTAAATACCAAAATCAGCTGGGGGCAGTGGTGTAACTACAGCTTGGAAGGCTGGGGGAGGGGGGCTGCAAGTTCAAGGCCAAGTGGGCAACTTAGTGGGATCCTGTCTCAAAATTAAAAAGAAGGGCTGGCCCCAGAGGCAAAGTGCCCCTGGGTCCAATCCCCAGGGGACTGAGGATGCAGCTTCAGGGTAGAGCCCCCTTGGTCCCACCCCCTGGAGCAAAGTAATGATTAATGATAAAAAGAAGCCTGCAGGCTCGCGCCTGTGATCCCAGCAGCTCAGGAGGCTGAGGCAGGAGGATGGAGAGTTCAAAGCCAGCCTCAGCAAAGGCAAGGTGCTAAGCCACTCAGTGAGACCCTGGCTCTCAATAAAATACAAAAAATAGGGCTGGGGACGTGGCTCAGTGGTCTTTTCCTTCCCTTGAGAGGGAAAGCAGGAGGAGTTTCCACTGAACCCACAATGGCGATGGACCAGAGGGGCTGGATGTTGCTAGGTGGGAACAGCTTTGGGAGGGGAGGCAGAGACCCTGAGTTCAATCCCCAGTACCTTCTTCAAAAAAAAAAAAAGAGAAGAATAGGGCTGAGGATTGAGCCCAGTTTAAAGTGCCCCTAGATTCAATCCCCAGTATCACAAAAGTAAATAAATCATACATAATAATTTCAGTGTGGTCATAGGCTCCGTTGTTGACCCCCAAAGCCGGGCCTTCTTTCCTCAGGATGTGGGACTGATCCGGCTCCCGCTGCGCAGAGAAGGCCACTTCATCCTTGGCCAAGAACAGACGAAGTGAGAGAGAAACTGGGCACCCATTTCCCAGGCCTTGGGGGCTGGGAGGTCACAGACAGGTTGTCCTGAGAGTCGTGCCATCGTGTGGACCAGACACATTCGTTTCCACGATGTCAGAGTTGACGGGAGCACAATGAATGCATCTTGGATTCACTGAGTGCTCCTTGCTCGGGGCCGTGACCAGGGCAAGCCTCTTCCTCCACGGCTGCAGTCTGGATCACTGGGGCCAGTCACACGTGTCCTCCCACACAGGGTGTGGGCTGAGAGGACAGCAAGAAACAGCAGCAGGGACACAGGCTTTAAGGAGACACTGCAGGGGGTCAGGAGAACCAGAACCAGGCCCGGAGCAGGGCGTGGGCCTGTCAGAGCACAGAACTTCCCCCACAGGCCAGGGCCGGACGGCCGCCTTTCCCTTCTTTCCCCCACACTTCTTACTGGTGCACTGTAGTCGCACACAGTGGTGGAATTGGTTGTGACATTCATACGTGCACACAGTGTGACGGCACGATTTGGCCAACATCACTCCCCCACCCTCCCCTCCTCTCTGCCCCTTTGCTCTTCTGACGTCCCCTCGATTTTCATGAGACCCCCTGTTTTAGTCAGCCTTTTCACTGCTGTGACTAACAGACCTGATGAGAAAAATAAGGAAGAAAAGTTTATTTGGGGGCTGGGGTTCCAGATGTCCAGTCCATGGAAGGCTGACTCTGCGGGGCTCAGAAGTGAGGCGGGGCATTGAGCAGAAGAGGGTGTGGAGGGAGGTGATTCTAGACCTCACACCAGGAAGCAAGAGAGGCTCCACTGGCCAGCGACAAAATATACACCCCAAAGGCCTGCCCCAAGGCCCCATGTCCTCCAGTGACACCCCATGCGCCTACCAGGGATTAACTCACTGATTGGATTAAGGCTCCCATAACCCCTCTAAGCCTCCTTGCTTCATCTCCCATGTGAGCTTTTGGGGGATACCTAATATCAAATTCATGACACCCCCACCCCTTGGTTTTCCTTTTTCCTCTCTAGCTCCTGCATATGAGAGAAAACATAAGACCCTTGACCGTCCAGACAGCAGGCATTTCTACAGAGGGCCACACCATGCCGGAGACTGAGCTGAGCTGTGAGACACAGAAAGCCTGTCCGTCCCTTTTCAGAACCAGCATTTAGCCTTAAATATAAAATTGGGGTGTAAGAAAGGCAGCCAGAGGAAAACAGAGCAGAGTAGAAAGTTCCAAGCAGGTAACGCCAAAGTGTCCAGGTGAAGTCCAGGTCCCTGGTGGCCCCAACAAAGAACATACAAGAACACAGAAGCAACAGGCAAGGCACTGGTTTACGGAAGGTGAACATGGCACTCGGTTAGGCAGAGCGGAGGGGGCTCGGCAAGGGAGAAGTGAGGCGCCAGGCCTCCGTGTGGGGAAACGAGGCCGTGTCTCCTGAGCGTGGGGAGATCTCTTCCCCACATGGACCTTAGGAAGGCCTTACTCCATCTGCTGCCATTGGCTACCTTACGATTCCTGATCAGGTATTTTCCTATATTCCCCCTGCACTGGTTACTTTAAAGAACGTAATTAGAATACTGCCCACTTGAGGGGCTGGGGCTCAGGGGCAGAGCGCTTGCCTGGCATGCGTGAGGCCCTGGGACCGATTCCCAGCACCATATAAATAAACAAAAAGGAAGCTCCGGGCCTGGTTCCGGTTCTCCTGGCCCCCTGCAGTGTCTGCCTTTGCTAAAGACTATGTCCCTGACAACTAAACAATATTTTTTTAAAAAGAATACTGACGGGGCTGGGGATGTGGCTCAAGGGGTAGTGCGCTCGCCTGGCATGCGTGCGGCCCGGGTTCGATCCTCAGCACCACATACCAACAAAGATGTTGTGTCCGCCGAAAACTAGAAAATAAATATTTAAAAAAAAAAAAAAGAATACTTCCCACTTTACCCATTGGTCATTTTAAAATTCGAACCTGTGGGGGCAGTTGTCATGGTGACGAGTCCTCGGTGGCAGGAGTCCTCGTGGTGATGGGATCTGTTG